AGACAGAGACAGACAGAGACAGATAGAGACAGACAGAGACAGACAGAGACAGACAGAGACAGACAGAGACAGACAGAGACAGACAGAGACAGACAGAGACAGACAGACAGACACGCAGTCATAGACAGAATACTGGCAGGTAACGTTGACAGCTAGGTTGATGGACAGATGTAGATACGAATTCACAAACACAGTTTTGGGGCTTGTTTCGAACTCCCGGGAACCGTGGTCCCCTGTTGGCGGTCTGTTTTGCAGCTTCATCCTACCACGCGATGCTGTCGGTTTCCATCAGTTTCGGCACTCGGTTCCAGCTTATGACCGCGGTGCATCATATCATGGAATCTTCGTTGTGCGTTTAAGCATCCTGGCCACCCAGCCTGCGCCGTTCTGGTTTTTAATGAGAAGATTAGTCTTAGTTTCAAAGTCTGACATGGCAGGTGGACGATCGACCGGCAGACACCTGAGATCTGATGTAAATGTTGAATTAATTGGTGGCTCAGTCCTTCGCTGGTCCCTGGCAAAGATCGTGCCATGAAGATGTCTTGACCTGGGGACTGGATCATGCACGCTCATGAGCTTGTGCCTGTCGAAGACATGCGCCGGCTCTTCAGAGATGTTGGCCCGCATTGCACTCTGGCAGTGATAGTAGCACACGGTCTTCCACATGGCCGACTGTTCTCAGCAGCTATGTGGCCGCAGGTTTCACAAATCGGAAGCGATTTCGTCAGCAAGAGGCCCGTGTTTCACGTGTACCTTAGGACTTAGGAAGTGGCCATCCGGCCATAAATTTGTGCTACAGGCCGCCAGTTATGCAAAGGAGGGACCTGCCTCGGCTCCGTTCAGACGTTCGGAGCCATGATCCAACCTGCAGCAAGGGGTGCATGTACCGCAGCCATTATCTGGACCGCCTCGGCTTCCCTCTATGCCCGCCGTGCTTTCAGTCTTCCATGAAGCGCAAGCAGTGTGACGACTCGCAGCTCCAAGCGCTGCGGCTGAAGGCCTCCGAGATCATCGCCTCGGCGCACGAATTCAACGGGGAGGGCAAGGCCAAGTACAAAAAGGCCAGACATGCCAGCCCCGCACTTTGCCCATGACGGGCCTGAACAATTCCGCATCTACCCCCTGAGACCCTAAGCCGTCTGCAAGCCCCACAGGTGGTCAAGGACTTCATTGATGCCGGCGGGGCGACAGATGATCTCATCGTCAGGATCGGCACGCACTTCTTCGGGTGTCCAGTGGGCAAGTCAAGCCAGGGCCCTCTGGAGGACTTCCACCTTCGCTCAAAGTACGTACAGGGATCGTGTTCGACTCTGGCCAAGGCGACTTCGTAGATGCTTCCGTATGCAAGGTTGGGATTGCAGCAAAAGCCGCCTCCGCCACTTTTCCGCATTGACTTGAGCACGGCTTTCTGAGGACAGCCCGGTGGAAGGGTCAAGGAGACTAGACTTTGACTATCTGGAGAAGTTCATGGCAGAGTGCTTCATGGCCTCCGGCACCCCAGAGAAGGACCGGGATGGACTCTTCCAGCGTGCCTTTCGCTTTGGATTCCCAATCCCAACACCTAGAAGGGCTCCGCTTCGTAAAAGGAGTCGAAGGTGTGCGCCAATGTGCTGATCGAAGCTGACAAGCGAGGGATCGACAGCCATGGCATCGGCAGCCTCTTAGCTCGCTTCCTTCTTTTTCGCACAGCCTCCCACTCGTACTCGTGCCAGAGATCCTCAGCCAAGGATTGAAGTCCATCTACATGGACAGGATCAAGAGCGGCATACTGAAGCCTTTCGCACCCATTGACATCATCAAGGAGACAGAAACTACTGCCTTGATAGATGCCAACATGGGCATTGGTCTCTACGTCGGCCCCCACTGCATGGACATGGCAATCACGAAGGCCAAAAAGCACCTTGGTGAGAGCATTAGGCCACGAAGGAGCTCCTTGCAAGCCCCAAGCCCTAAGCAAAACCCTGACCTCATAATCCTTATAATCGGTTAGACCATCAAGCCTCAAGCCTCAATCCCAAACCTGAGCCTCAACTCCAGATACGGCCTTGGCTTCGTGGCCGTCCGCAATTCGACCCACTACGGAATCGCCGGATACTACGCCACCATGGCCAGCTCAAAGGGCTGCATCGGCTTCTGCGGCACCAACGCGCGGCCCTCCATCGCGCCGACCTTCGGAGTGGCCCAGGGGCACTAGCAGGGCAGGGTTCGTTTATGTATGGCAGGTTGTAGTCATTTTGATGGGCTCTAGGGTTCAGGGTCCTTTTTAGAGTGGAATCCATTTGTGTACTGGTTAGGGTTCAGGGGGCTCTTTCCTTCAAGCAGTTAAAAAGCTCTTGGCCAGCCTCAAGGGTGGCACAGAATGAGTTTATTTCGGAAAAATTTGGAACTTGAATAGGGTTTCGGATAGGGCTTTGGGTAGGGGTAAATTCCGGGATACGATTTAAATAGGGCTTAATTAGAACGTGCTTTTCGGAGGGGTCGGATTTCGCAATAGGATGTAAGTCTGTTTGGAAACGCCGCCTACATTGGCCTACATGCCAGTCATGCAGTCTGTGTCGTTACACGCGCCGACACACTCAGCGACGGACAGAGGACACGCAGCGACATAATGACGCCGTGCGGAGGCAGGCACCGAGGCGTGCAGTGCAGTTCATCGTCGCTGACCAAGGCATCACACACACACACACCCCACCCTCGCCCACCCCCACGCACAAGGCCCACCAAATCCCCACTGTCAAGAGAAGCGCTCGAACGGGGGGGGGGGACGAGGCAACGGGGTGGAAATTCCCTAGTTTATTGTTCTAGGAAATAGTCAAAAAAATCTTGTTACACCTCAAGGAAGAAATAGGAACAACATAGGAACATTATAGAAACAAAATAGAAATTAAATAGGGAACACCGCAGGCCCCCCCTCTCTACGCCGACCCTCGCCCATCCCCTGCCGTGCCCTCCCCTCCCGGAGAAGAGTGCTGCACAGGGCGCTGCCCACCGCACCGTGCTTTCTGCACGTTCCGTTATGCCGTTGTGTTTTCAGCAGGCAGTGGTGCAGATTTCAGTTTAAAGATTCCAAGGTATTCCTTTTTGGCTATGAGCCGACTGTGTGGTCGGTTGAACATGTAGTCAAACACGTGTAGCGAATGTGCTTCTTTGTGATTCCATGGTGGTTCGAAGCGACTTGCATTGATTGGCGGGTTGTCGTTGTATTGTTGCTGTCGTGATTGTTGCATGGTCTGTGCTGTTCATGCCTTTGTCGGTTTCATATGTTTTTCTTTCTTTCTTTCTTTCTTTCATGCTTTTCGTATTGTGATTATCCGCTCCTTAATTTTTCTTATTCCAACCTGGCCGACGGTTTCATTTACTATCTTAAGGGTTGTCGGCCAGAATCTTGGATCTCGAACCCGACATCCCAAGCATTGATGGCAGGTGGAGCCGTGTCTGGGAACCAACCCTCTCTGCTTTGGGATCCCAACAGACGAGGCACTCAGACACAGCAAGGGATCGAGGATGTCTAGTGCTTAGACGTCTCTGTGCATTTTGACCATTGGCCGAACTTGATTCGGAGGCCTTTCCCTTCGTGATTGACTGTGCTACTTCCATCTGCCAGCGCGGCAAGATGCTTGGGTCTTCATTGCAGCTTTTATGGTTTGGCTGCATGTCTGAGCGGCGATTGCTCTCTCTATCCCCCTCTGTTCCGATCATCGATCGCTTCCTCTCTCTTGGTAAGCTCAGCAGAAGCGCTCCACATCAGTTTAGGGTTCAGAAGACGCCAAGGATAGAGAAGTACGCGCGAAGTGGCAAGCCCACTCCAAAAGGCATGGTCGTCGACTCCAGTGGAGAGGATCCCGAGGGATTAGTAGCGAGAACACCAGCTATCTAGCAATAATAACAATCATATGCTTAGAGTTCCTCATTCTTCTGAACTCACCAGAAGTCGACGTATTCAAGCACCTAAATTTGTGACTTCATCACAGCCGTCAGGAGCGGACGGACACCGATGGCATTCTCAAAGGCATGGTGAAGGGCGACTGCGCCCTGTGCCCCATTGGAGGCGCCAGATTCGGGGACTCCAGAGTTGCGTTTGGGTGCCGTCATCTCCACCGCTCCGCTACCACCAGGGCTTCGGGGCTTTAGAGTTGAGGGTTTTAGGGTTTTAGGGGTTTTTAGGGGTTTTTCGGGTTTAGGGCGTAGGATCAGTTGAAAACGATCGCCTGCAGACTGGCCAGGTGGTGGCGACGAGCTGGGCGGCTACAAAGGCTACTCCTGGGCCACGGTCGTAGAGCTCCTCAGCATCGCCTTCCAGGAGCTCTGCTCTTCAGGGTCTGGTCTTGTAAGGTTTAGGGTTTTAGGGTTTTAGGGTTTTAGGGTTTAGGGTTTAGGGGTTAGGGTTTAGGGGGGAAAAGTCTGAAAATGACGACTGTAGCTGTGGGGACCACCGAATTTTGCATGTCGTGACTTTTGCAGGGAGGTGACTTTGGACGAGCGCTTTCGGGAGTTGGCCCGGACGGCGCCTTGCCAAAGGACTTCACCAGGAAGTTCTGCACGGTTCACGGTGCCGGGTTTAGTGTCCTCATGACAGCTGCATTTTTGAATTCGGTCGTTGCTTAGGCAAGCCGTCGCCCATGTCCTTGGGACATTTCTTCCTGGCCATCAACGTGGAGGAAAAGTCGTAAATAGGGTTGCAGTGCAGCTGGAACGGCTGTAGTGACACTGTAGTGCCTTCGATGTCGTGGTCCGGGTGGCAAACAATATTTTCGATTGGACCAGTCAGACTGTGATGATCACTGTGATGCACTTCTTCTGTGTCCACGTGCAGACACATACTGGGTATGCGCGTTAATCATCATAGAGGCGGCAGCAGTGGTGGTGGTGGTGGTTGTGGTGGTGGTGACCACCACACGATATCGGCCATAGCTGCACATCCAGCACTGGCTTGCTTGACATATACATTCCCGCATCCTTGTTGTGTCTATTTGCTTCGTAGTCGTCGTCGTCATCGTCATAGTAGTAGTAGTAGTCGTCGTCGTCGTCTTCGCCGTCGCCGTGGTAGTCGCAGTCGTAGTCGTGGTCGTGGTAGTGGCAGTGGCAGTGGTCGTGGTGGTGGTGAGGTGGTGGTGGTAGTGGTAGTATGATTATTGTTATTATTATTATTACTACCATTATTATCAATATTATCATTATTGTTATTATTAGTAGTACTACGACTACTGCTGCTACTTTGTAGTGGTAGCGGTAGTGGTAGCGGTAGTGGTATTGGT